TTGATTTCAAAGGTATAATCGAGTTGTAACCATGCTTTTTGTTTTGCCCTAGTTTACTAAAATAGGAGATTCAAGTTGTAACCATTGCCCCTTCTTCGAGGGAAAAAGATCATGTGGTATATTGCTCTTAGGTTTGAGCTGAAAGATTGGCGTTGAATCTCATATGCTTGATTTCCTGGATTCTGCGGTTGGAGTTCGTCTATTTGTTGTTTTGGAGGTTATAATAGCTATTTCATGCACATTACATGTATATTAGATATGAACCTTTTGCTGACAGTTATCTTTTTCCAGGTTCCGTGTCTCAAAGACAATTATGCATATCTTTTACATGATGCGGACACAGGCACAGTTGGGGTTGTTGATCCTTCGGAAGCTGTGCCAATTATTGATGCTTTGAGTCGGAAAAACCGGGATTTGACTTATATATTGAATACCCACCACCATTATGATCACACCGGTGGGAACGCATAGTTAAAAGCAAGGTATGGTGCTAAGGTATGAAAATGTCATCTCGTAGTAACTTTTCTATCACCTTGTTTTGGCTCATATCCGACTACTAATTTCCTTTCAAATTAATACGTAAATAGAGCGGCTATTGTATAATACGCTGTTTGCATCTTGCTTGTAATGATGAGTATGTAGCTTTGACTCTTATACCTGTCTGATGAATATTCGAACAGGGGGTATATTGATATGAACTTCCAAGGTCTCTCCAAATACACGAGGAAACTTATGAAAAAGAAATTGAACATTGTACTCGTATTTGACACCCGCATCCGAGTATTGGAATAGACAATGATCTAATAATAATATTCTTTTCCATGTAGGTGATTGGTTCGGGAATAGACAAGGATAGAATTCCTGGAATCGATATTGTTCTAAAAGATGGGGACAAGTGGATGTTCGCAGGTCATGAGGTGCAAGTCATTGAAACCCCCGGTCATACTCGAGGTTCGATTCATTAATCAATTCGATTGAAAATTATGTGGATTCAATTATTATTTTTTTAACTATTTCAAATTCAATGAAGTAATACTCGAGTGCAGAGAAGCCATGATTTAGGTTCTACAGCTTTATGGTTGCTTGTTCCTTCTCATTCCCGTTTATTATTGTTGATAAATCAAAAATTGACATGTAGGCCATATTAGCTTCTATTTTCCTGGTTCTGGAGCAATTTTTACCGGAGACACTTTGTTCAGCCTATCATGTGGCAAGCTTTTTGAAGGAACCCCGGAGCAGGCAATATTGACTACCATATCACTCAGAATTGGGTTCTTTAGATACGAGTTTGTGTTTGACACGGGATATTCATTTTTCAAAACACTTTTCCATGCATTCATGAAAAATATAGTTGAAGAATGGAGTAACATAAATTTTGAACACTGTGATCCTTTATAATCCAACAAATCTTCTTCATTGTTCTTGATGATATCGTTACTGCTGAATTCTGTTTCACAGATGTTTTCTTCCCTTAAGAGGATCATGTCTCTGCCTGATGATACAAATATATATTGCGGTCACGAATATACTTTGGTTAGTCTATTTATCTTTCGGGGAAAACACTTAATTTTTCCAGCGGAGTTCAGATAGGTGCTAACCTGTGTATGTACCCATTTTGGCAGAGTAATTCCAAATTTGCATTATCTATAGAACCTAAAAACGAGGCACTTCGGTCATATGCAGCCCATGTAGCTCAACTTCGCAATAAAGGATTGCCTACTGTAATTTCCGGGGTTAACAATTATGCTCCGACTGTTAATTAAGTGTTCTTTCGACGATTCTTTTCCGACATATGATTCGTTGAAAGGAGTGAACGGCTTTTGCTGTTGTGCATTAAAGTTCTACATGTTTGCATGCATGTGTTGTCTGTTTTTGACTGGCAGATCAACATTTTTTTCTCCCGATTTTCTCGATAGGCTGTACCTTGATTCGATCGCAATGATCTCAGAAAGCACCTGTTTTGTATGATGCTGTTGCATATATAATCGAAATTTTGCGGGATAAGTTAATTGTCAACATGTTATTTCAGATACCGACTACATTAAAGATGGAGAAGGCATGCAATCCGTTCCTTCGGACGTCGAGTACAGAAATCCGACAGGCATTAGATATTCCGGTCACCATGAATGAAGCAGAAGCTTTGGGTGTCATCCGTCGGTCAAAGGATAGTTTCTAGGATTACTTTTAGGGTTAATAGGGAAATTGGTTCCTGAACTTTTAATCGATCACGGGACGTTAGTATTTTATGTACTGTTGTTTTTTTATGTATGTGTATAGTTACTCTTCCATTTGAATCTTGTAGATATACTTTAAATAAGAGAATGAATTAAAATATAATCGAATTAAAATATAATCGAATTAAAATTAGATTCAAATTCAAGAAAATTCACTCTAGTATATATTAAAAAATCAAATATAATTTATATATTCAAATTATAACAAGATACAAAAAAACATTTGGTTTTGGTTAAAAAATTTGAGGATTAAGTTGCTATAATGTATAAAATTTGAGGATCAAATGTATTATTTTACCAACTTAGAAAAGCTCAATTGACAAAATAAATAAATCAAATGACTATTTTGTAAATCTTAATTATATGATGACAAAAAAAAGGAAAAATATTGATCTTTCACCCCAGGGATTGGTGTCCGATCGAGTTAAGTTAGTTTTTTTAATTAGTTAAATTTACGAGTCTTATTTATAACCTAATATTTATTTTAAATTTTTTTGAGTCAAATTGTTTAAATTTTTATTTATATTTAATTGTGAATATTTATAATGTTATCATACTAATTGATTCTAATTTAAATGGTTTTTATAATCATATATTGTGTATATATATATATATATATATATATATATATATATATATATATATTCATATGCAAATATTATTCAAACTCGACTAGAACTTGAAAACAAATTCACTAATTATTAAGAAATCTGAGTTATTCGAATTCTATTCTATAATTCAAATTTTATTAAATTTTTTAATCAAGTCAAATTTATAAAATTATAATTAAATCAAGGGTAAACTACATGTTTAGTATCTTACCTATTACTTTTATTTCATTTTAGTACCTTAACCTTATTTTGTTTTAAAGCTATACCGAACGTTTAATTTATGTTTCATTTTGGCGTTCATCGTTAAAAACTTGACGGTGATATTGACGTGTCACCATAAGGTAATATCATGTCTTAATACCCTAAATATTAGGTCAGTGACTTTATTTAAAAGATTTAAAATGTGAGGATTTATTTGATAAAATGATAAAAGATGAGAAATGATTTGGAATAGTGGTTTAGACTAAATTGTAACAATGAATGATTAAAAGGGCATTTTGGTCATTTGGAATAAAATGAATTTAAAATACATATTCTTATTAAAGATTTAATAGGAGAAAAGAGGAAAGGGAAATTAATTACTCATCTTCTTCTTCTTCTTCCCTTGTGGTACTCTTCTCCATAGCAAAAGATCGAAATCAAACTCCCGAGTCAAATAAAACGAAAGGAAAAAGTGAAGTAGCTAAGTAATCAGATTTGCGTTTTGGATATAATCACGAGGCAAGCCAGGTGAGTACATTTATTGTAATTATTTGAGATAAATAAGATTCACAATGATTTAAATTAGAACGTTTTAAGTTAATGTATGTTTTATAGTATTTAATATGTTATCATTATATGTATGGAAATGATATTATGAATGAGCTTTTGAGTATGAACTGCTCTAAAACGAATCCATAAATGAAATGCATGAAAGGATGCCATAAATGAAATGCATGAAAGGATGCATTAAGGCATGAAAGGATGCTATAAATGAAATGCATGAAAGGATGCATTAAGGCATGAAAGGATGCCATAAATGAAATGCATGAAAGGATGCATTAGGGCATGAAAGGATGTCATAAATGAAATTAACGAATAATTACTAAAGAAAAATGAAAAGAAAAATGTATAAGAAAGAAAGGTATGTTGGACATACTAAGGATGTTTATGATAATAGTATGAGAGAAGTTTGGTTTCAATAATAGGGACTTATCTAATCCTTATGGATGATACAAATTAGTTCAAAAACTAAGAAATTCATAATAAGTTTATGAATTTCCATATTGGTAGTGGGTGTGCAACCCATGTAAATTATAGTAATGTTTGGGGAATGACTGTTTTGGCACTACATGTGTAAACTATAGAATTTATAATGGAATTAAATAGTTTATTGATAATATGAATAATTATTAGAGTATGATATGTTCTAAAATAAAAGATTAATGGTCTAGTTGTGTATTTGACAGAAATGTGTCAATCATGTCAGTTAGATGAAAGGTTAAATACCTTTGAGTAAAAGACTAAAAGCCTAACTGTGTCTTTGGCAGAAATGTGTCAATCATGCAAGTTAGATGAAAGGTTAAATACTTTTGGGTAAAAGACTAAATGTCTAACGGTGTATTTGACAGAAAGATGTCAATAATGCAAGTTGGATAAATGACTAATTGCTTACTCGTGCTAATTGATATGAAAGAATGTCATAAATAAAAATGTATAACCACGCATAATTGGTATGGAAAAATGCCATAAATGAATATATATATATATAACAGTGCATAATTGGCATGAAAGGATGTCACAAATGAAAATACATAACGATATATTAATGGTGTATAAAGTGCCACTCATGATAATTATAAAAGATAAATGACTAATTGACACTTTAGTGTAATACATGTGCATTACTTTCTCATTTAACGTACATAGGGAAAATAAAGAATAATTGAGAAGAATATACGAAAGGATAGGTAGGCTGGACCTACTAAGAATAAATTCGATGAGTGTATAAAAGAAATTTGGTTGAGCTGAGAAGGATTTATTTGATCCTTATGGAATAGGCGATTTAATTTGTCATTTAATAGTCATGAGATACGTATGTATAAATTTCTGTTTTTTTATAATATTATGCCTCATTGAGTAAATACTTAACGTGTGTTGATTTCATGCGTAGGTAAAAGCAAAGTCTAGTTGGATATGAGGTGCAATAGCAGCTATCATAAATCTAAGGTTGACTCTCATCAGTAACGGTAGGACAATCATTTTTATTTTGAACATTGTTCGCATGTAATCAAAATTAAGAAAAATGCTATGGAAAGTATGTAAAGTGAAAATTTTGGTAATATAGTTCAACAACTGTTTTATAATGGTACTAAAATGTTTTAGTTTAAATTTCGAAAAAAAAAATTTATGGGTTTTAAAATGAAAAACTGTTTTAAAGGTGATGTGACATCTATATCTCGTGTACGAAAAAGTATACGGGAGATGGGTGTTACAATGTTATCATTGAAAAAAACACGTCAGTAATTCTGTTAATTTTTTAACAGGTACCAAATTGAAACCTAAACTAAACATTATGCATGTTTTAAGAAAAAATAAAGATTATCAAAACGAAACAAAAATAATAATTTAAGTATTAAGTATGTAGTTTGCCCAAGAATCTCAATATAATCTTCTTATGACCAACTCTCTTTTATAGAGAAACAACGGTCAATCATCGTTTTCTCACCGGCCACGACCCTCCGTCCAAACTAGAAAAGTTAAACCACCAACGACTCGACTAGACCAAATTATTTTCATCCACGAGCTAATATGAATGTGTTACCTGTTATGGAAGCAATTGTACTCCAAATAATGTTGTTCACTTCTTCATTTCCGGGCACGAAGTCGTTGCCAACACAGTCAATATCAAACCGGTTTGATTTTAAATCCGGTTTTCTCAACAATGTAGCAAATTCATTGATTAACTAGAGAAAAAACAAGGATAAAAAGTTGATAATCAAAGGAAAGAGAGTTGAACAAAACACATAATTTATAGGTAAAATGAGAGCAAAGATTTTCAAGGGTAAGATAAAGTGGCAATGTGATTATGAGCCACTGTTCCAATCCACAGTTTCCCTTCAACTTCTCTAACTTCACTCACTAGCTTCATCACCACGCCTTTTCGATCTTCCAGAACTTTTACGATTTCGCCGTTTTCTTGAACAGTGAGATCACCGTGAACATCTTCATCCCCATCATTCTTGCTAAAATCTTCATCTTCATGGGTAATTTGAAGTATAAGCTCCTCATCCATGGATTGTGAACCAGAATCTCTTGTGCTTGAGTTCTGCAACAATCTATGGCTACCCAGAATTGACCTTTCTCGTTTATTCTTACATTGTCCGGAAAACCAGGTAAATCAGTCACCAGTTCCGTTGTCCCGGTTCTTGGACCTTCAAGCCAGTATTTCATCAGCCTGCCACCATGCCAAATATCAGTATCAAAATGCAGAATAAGTTTCTGGTGCAGGTGTCTGATACATGTACGTGCCCGAAACGAATAACATCAACCTCTGGCTTTAACCGGTAGGTTCATGCAAGCAAAAAGAATGAGATGGAATTGCCTGCAATTGCTAGTCTCGGGGAATAAAAGGAAGCTCTGGTCCAAAGATAACTGAATTCCATTTGGAAAAGCTAAGCCATCCAACACTACATGAGTTGTCTTTGTCGGAGGATCATATCGGAGAATCCTTCCAGTCGTCTCGCCTTCTAACAATATGAAGAAATGATACCTGCTCAATAATCTTCTGTAAGTAACCCTTCACTATATATATGTCAGATTTGAGAAAAATAATGGGATGTTTTATGTATTATTGTTGACATACACTCTGTTGTACTTCCTGCTAGTATCTGTGAAAAAGATTGAACCGTTCTTATGGATGTCTAGGTCGTTTGCAAATAGTATTGGCTTCCCGGCCACATGAGTCGCTAACGGTGTGGCTAGTCCACCTCCTGATCCGACCACGAGGGGTCCGTAATTGGCATCTGCAATGTACAAGTCTCCACTGTCTTTGTTGAACCTTAGCCCGAGTGGTCTACCACACCATTTCTCATGTCTCCATTGCTTTGATGTTGTTGAGTCCACACCTCTGGCACATAGCTTCTATGACCTTTATTTTATGTACATTTCCACCACGAATTAGCATATGGTTTATGTCTATCTAATCCTATGTTGTTCGGACTCGAAAAAGAAAGAATTCGAACAACAAAGGGATGATATTCGGTTTGGATTTCCATCAAAGTATTAAACGAAGGTTTGAACATGCTCACCAGTTTGATGTAAAGATGACGAATGTCTCCCATCCGATACCCTGGCCCATCCATCGAACAATGCGACCGTCGGCCAATCCGGTGTAAGGGCCATGACCGAATTTGTTAAACTCCAACGATTCAGGGCCGAAAACTTTGTCGACAAACTCGAGTTTCCCGTTTCCCAACCGGCTTTCATTGTCTCTAGGCCAACTTCCCATCACTTCCTTGTATGGTGCTATGTCATGTTTCACTGGCCTGAATTCGATACCACCGACCGGTCCAATCTCAAAAGGATCCATAAAAAATAAACCGAGAACCAGAACAGCGATGAACAGAGCTGGGTGCTGCAAAAAAGCTTCCTCTTTATGCTTGACTTTCTTCTCCATTGATGGTTCTTTTTTTTTTCCTATCTGAAAGATCAATCAAATATGATGAATTTAGTGGTTAATTTAGTGTGTTTTTGTTTACTTGGGTAGGAAGTCATTGGTTAAGAAGTTAGAAAACACGCATTTGATGTGATATATACAAACAATATAATGCAAGCAGGTTGCTTCTTGTTGTTCATGTTTGTTTTATAAGAAAGATCATCTAATGGACTCGTAAATTGAAATTTTCAAATAACATTTAAAATTTGAATCTTATCTTTTGTTCCGATTATAAGAAAATTTTACGAGCTTGAATCCAAATAACATAAGATAGTAATTTGCTAGAGAATGGATCAATGTCGTATATTTTCCAGTGAAGCTTAGCATCATGTATTCCTATTTTATTATTTTTTTCGTAATTTATCTTTAATCATTCTTATATTTTCTTCCGATCTCTTCCGAATAAATCAAAGTCTACCTACCTATGTACATTCATACCTAAAATTTAATATGAGTGAAACAACAGTTTTCTCTATATATACATACATACATACATACATACATGGACGGAACAAAACAATTTATTTTGGGATGTTGAATTTAAAAATTATATAAAGAATTTTTTTAAATGAATGAATATAAATAATAGATGCCAATATTTTTTAAAGATATATATTTCTTTAAAATATGTTAATTTTATTTTTTAATATATTTTCATATTAAATTTATAAAGAAATTATTTTTCCCAAAAAACCTCGTTATATTAGCTGACTTCGCCCATGCATACGTACATTTATAACATGAATTTAGTAATGTTATTTGATAATGTTGATGCTTTTTTTTAGAATCGGATTTTCAAGGAATTTTTAAAATGCATTTAGTTTGAATAATCTTTTATCATGTAAATTTTCGAAATGATATTAAATATATTTGATTGTTTAATATTATTTAGTGACGGTAATGTAAGATTATTTATAATAAATATTATTTTTGATTTTTTTTAAAATTTATTATTTAATCAACTTAATCCTTTTAAACAAAATACAAAATAAAAAAGTTAAAAGAAAATAATCATAAAATTATACTCATTATGCCAAGCTTTTATAAGAGATTACTGTCGAAATTATTCATCATGTCAGCAGTTATTATCAAAATATTAATATTTTTAAGTATTGAAAATATTTTTTAAACATGTATTTATTAAATGATTGAATATCATATCATACACGTCGACTCAAACTCGTAACATATCGTCTTCAACAAGTACTAAACATGTTTTTTCTTTTTAAATAAAAATTGTAATTTTTTTTTATTTTTATAATTGCAAAAATTATTATTTCAACAAGTTATTTTATTAAGAGTAAAAATTAAGTAAAAAATGGCTTAATATAAAAATAAGTGCTCAAACTATACATTTTTTCCTATTTTGGTGCCTAAACTTTTTTCGGTCAATCCCAGTGTCTAACGATACAAACGTTATCATTTTAGGTGTCTGAACCATGACGGCTGTTAACAAATCTCATTAAGTGACACGTTTCACATTCAGGTAATTTTTTAAAAAAATTATTTGAAAAAAATTAAAAAAGTATTATTATATTTAAATACTAAATTATTTAAAATTATAGAAAAACCCTAAATTTCTTAAAATCCCTAAATACCCCATAAATCCCTAACCCAAAGTCTATCATCGTCGTTGGCCATCACCACTGTCGACCATCTATCTCGAGTTGCCATTGTCAAATCTCACGAGCAACAACACTTCCATCAATGGAGGAGAAGCAAATGGAAGAGAAAAGGATGAAGGAGCCTGTCCCTCGTCCCTCTCCAACGTTGTTCGGCTCATTGTTATTCTCAAACGTCGTTCGGCTCGTCATCCCTCTCCAGTGTCATCTGGCCCGTCATTCCTATCTAGCGCCATCCCTCTCACTAGTGCGAAACTGTCATGGTTGAAGGACTCACTAGCCAAGAGGACAGATCAGCCCAGCTACGAAGCCCACTGAGAATATCGTTGGAAGAAATCCAGCTAAGGAGTAATCTGTTATGCTACCAGACAAGAGCATTGATACATGTAAACAAATAATTGGTGGTTGTTAATGCATTAGAATATATATATATATATGCATCAGATATGTAACGGAGAGTGTAACACCCCCAACCAGTATCCGATCCGGATACGAGTCCGAAGTGTCACATTGACTTTTCAAACATTTATTCGTATAAAATAGTGAGTAATTTAAAAACTTTGATAACATTTAACTTATTCAAAACGTTTACAAAATATATATCAGAGTTCATACAATTTATGTCTTTAGACTACATGCCAACTACACTCTATATACAGTACATATATTTTCTGATCTGACAATTGGGTAAGGAGAACTGACCTGGCTTGCTCCTCTTAGCTCTTTACTCTTCTCACTTCTGTAGCCTACGTGTGAAACAATCACACGCTAAGTCGTTGACTTAGTGAGGCATAAAACATATAATAAAACTCTATCTCGTAATCATGCTTGAACAATTTCTACTA